GAGGTCATCTAGCCCAGCCCCCTACTCAAGCAGGAGATCCTATACCCGTGATGGCGCACAGCCATTTGTGCCGGCACGCGAGCTGCAGGCAAACTTACTTCACGGGGCACGCGCACGCCTCACAGTTGATTTTCGGCCCGTTTGAGGCCTTTTTTTTGGCCTCCCAAAGGCTTGAGGAAGGCTTCTACAGGCTGAAAACTAGCCACGTTTCATCACTTCCTGTTTTTCCAAAAAATACCGGAAGTGACCAAACGGGGCTATTTTTCAGCCTGCAGAAGCCTGCAGAAGCCTCCCTCAAGCCTTTGGGAGGCCGAAAAAGGCCTCAAACCGGCTGAAAATCAGCTGTGAGGTGCAGGGCAGGTAAGGGGGTGGTGTGGGTGGGGATTACGCGTGCATACATAGGGGGTGTGTGGGGGGCACGCATTGCCTTCAGGGTGCTGCCACACGAGTGTGAGCGTGCAAGCGCGTGCACAGTTTTTGGCACGGGAGGCCCAAAAGGTTAGCCACCACTGTCCTATACCATTTCAGACAAGTGGCTGCCCAGTCTCTTCTATCTAAAAGAGGAACCATCCATTAAAAGTCTTAATACAGCTAGTCCTTGACTTAATGATCACAGTCGAGCCCAAGAACCTACGATGCTAAGTGAGAAATCCGTTAAGTGAGTTTTGCCCCCTGTTTATGACTTTTCCTTGCCACATCCGTTAAGTGAACCACTGCAGCCGTTGAAGGAGAAACACGGGTGTTCAGTGAATCTGGCTTCCCCGTGGACTTGGCCGGTCAGACGGCCCCAACCCCCGGGGCGCACCACGACCGTCGTAAATACGAGTCCCCTTGTCAAGCATCTGAAAGTAAATCACAGGGATGCCGCAGTGGCCCGTAAGAGTGGAAAACGACCGTAAGCCTCTTTTTCCAGTGCCGTTGTAAGTTTCGAACAGTCACTAAATGAACAGCTGTTAAGTCGAGGAGTACCTGTAACCAGGTGGCCAAAGTGAAGCCCTGGTGTGGTTCTAGCTGCCTCATACTGCACCAAGGTGGTCTCGGGGCAGGGCGGACAAAGGAAAGACCCTACCAAAATTCACCTGCCTCCTTTCTTCTTGTTCGTCCCACTCGCCAAAGTCCGGTTAGCTCTGCCAGCTATAGAGAGGAGGCATCTGTTAGAGGTGGTAACCTTATCTAGCCCCCAAACCCACCCAGGACGCAGAGCTGGGAGATGCACAGGATCTTGCTACCACCATATGCTTGTTTTTTGGAGGGTGGGTGGGGGGGCTTCTCATTTCCACCCCCCCCCCCCACCCCGTTTCGGTATCGCATCCTCTTCTTCTCCTTTCTTGACCGGCTTGCTTCTTGGGTATCCCAATTTCCTGGGTTTGGGTGTTGCCCTCCGAGAAAAAGGTGACCCGGGCAGTTGGCCGTGTGCTCGGATGACAGTGTCGGCCTCCGCACCGTCGGCCAAGCAGAACCCCGGCCACCTGTGACGAGTGACGAGTGTCAAGAGCCCTTCTCGTTTGCTCCCTCTTTCCCCGGAGTCTTGTCGGTGCACACAAAGAGGTTTTGCAACCGCGAACATTCCCGACTCCCGGGATTGCGACGCTGGTCTCTTTCCCTCCCAAAGAGAATCAGCCACCCTTCCGGAGGCGACCGCTTTCGTAAGATCGCTGCCCATGGGACTTGCGGCTGGCGGGGTGGGGTGGGGGGCCTAGCCACTGTTCTTGGCCAGTTGCACCACCTCCCCCAGCCGTCCCGCACAGCCGGCACGTAAGCTTCGCTCGCCTTTCCTGCAACTTGGGCCCTTGGGCGGCTGCACCCGAAAGCCCCACGGGGCAAACCGGAGGCCAGAGAGGAGCACACAGGGGCACCTCTCTCTCGGCCCTTAAACCCTAAGGCTCCCTCCCCAGAATGAACCTGAGCTTGCTTGCGTTCTGGTTATCCAAGGCAGGGGTGAGGCCGGCCCTGGAGCTTCTGTTCCTCCTTCTGTCCCTCCTCCCAGGTGTGCTTTTCAGGTGTGTGTGTGTGTGGGGGGGAAATCCCTTCCGATCCTTTGCAAAAACAACCCCCAAAACCCAGGCTGCCCCCATGGGGAATCGCCATGTCTTGGTTATGGGGGGTGTTTGGTGCAAACAAGGGTGCCAAGGTTTTTTTTTCTCTCCTCTCCTTTCCTCAGCTTGGAGCATGCAGGCCTGAACTCCCCCCACCCCCCCAGGTCACTCTTAAGTGACCGCCTGGTAAAGAAGGAGAGATATGAGGGATGATTCAATCAGGCCGCCTTCACTGCTTACGTGCAGCAGGAGTCACAGCTGGAGCTGGACCCGTTCCAAAGCCAGCGTGAACAGCTGGAGGAAGGGAGAAGCTGTTTATCACTTTCCTATTTGAAACAGTTCCTTCCTTCCTTCCTTCCTTCCTTCCTTCCTTCCTTCTCTCTCCCTCTTTTTGTTTCTATTTTTCTTTCTTTCCTTTTTCTGTCCCTATGTCTCTGTCCCTTTCTCTTTCCGTCTCTTTTTGTTTATTTTTCTTTCCTTCCTTCCTTCTTTCTCTGTCTCTCTCTTTCTATGTTCCTCTTTTTCCCTCTCTCTTTCCCTCTCTTTCTTTCTTTCTTTCTTTCTTTCTTTCTTTCTTTCTTTCTTTCTTTCTTTCTTTCTTTCTTTCTTTCTTTCTCTGTCTTTTTATCTTTCTCTGTTCATCTCTTTCCCTCTCTCTCTCCCTCTTTTTGTTTCTATTTTCTTTTTCTATGTTCCTCTCTTTCCCTCTCTTTTTTCTCTTTCTTTTTCTTTCTATGTTCCTCTTTTTCCCTCTCTCTTTTTCTTTCTTTCTTTCTTTCTTTCTTTCTTTCTTTCTTTCTTTCTTTCTTTCTTTCTTTCTTTCTTTCTTTCTTTCTTTCTTTCTTTCTTTCTGTCTCTCTGTCTCTGTCTTTCTATGTTCCTCTTCTTTCTTTCTTTCTTTCTTTCTTTCTTTCTTTCTTTCTTTCTTTCTTACTTTCTTTCTTTCTTTCTTTCTTTCTTTCTCT